ACAGAATGGCTGAATTAATTTAAAAAATAAGATCCAATAATATGCTGCTTGCAAAAGATTCACTTCAGATTTAAAGCCACGCATAGAGGTTGTAGTTAAGGTACATGAAAAGATACTTGAAGCAAATGGTGACCAAAATAAACAAGGGTAGCTAGCTAGTCTTTCTATCAGACAAAATAGACTTGAAACTGAAAATGGTAAAAAGATAAAGAAATTCATTATGTAATAACAAAGGGGTCAATGCATCAAGAAGATATAAAAATGTAAATATTTAAGTGCCTGACATCAGAGCACATACCTATATAAAGCAAAACCTAATAGTGCTAAGGGCAATAACAAACAGCAATACAGCAGTAGCCTAGCTCTTTAATGCCTCACTCTTTTTTTTTTTTTTACTTTTTAAAAAAGATTTTATTTATCTTTAAAGGGGAAGGAGAGAGGGAGAGAAATATTAATGTGTGGTTGCCTCTAGTGTGACCCCTGCTGGGAACTGGCCTGCAGGGAACTGGCCTGCAACCCAGGCATGTGCCCTGACTGGGAATCAAACTGTGATCCTCTGTTTTGCAGACCTGCACTCAATCCACTGAGCTACACCAGCCAGGGTAATGCCTCACTCTTAATGATAGATCGATCATCCAAGACAGAAAAGCAATGAGGAAACAGCAGATGTGAATGACACTACAATCAAATGAACCTAACAGACACATTTAGAACATTCTTTCTGACAGCAGAACACCCATTCTTCTCAAGTACACATAGAACATTTTCCAGTGTAGGCCACATTTTAGGCCACAGAAAAAAAGTATTAGCAATTGTGAGAAAATTGCGATCATATCAAGTATTTTCTTTGACCACAAGGGTATGAAACTAGAAATCAACAACAGATGAAAAACTGGAAAACCTGTACGTAATGGCCAATGGATCAAGAAGAAATTAGTTAACAAACATCAAAATGATGAAAAGTCATCAAAATAGAAGACATAAAAGTATATAAGTATTTTCCAAAAAAGTCTGATATCACATATGAAAGTTTATAAATGAAAAGAATGAATTTATATACATGTGTGCCATTAAGCCTTTGAAGAGTAAAAAAAATAGCATTAGCGACTTGGTTTTAAGTTGATTGATTCTCGATCAAAGGCATTTCTTTAACTTTCAATATTTTGTATATGTTGCAGTATGTGGGGAGGATAGGGAGTCTCTTCAAGTTGTAGACACAGGATCTTCTAAAAAAAGTTCTGTTTTTCAATTATAGTTGACTAGCCATACAGTCTTTGAACAATGCATGGCTGCTGAGGAAACACTGTGTGTGCTCTGTATCACTGATGCTCTAACTTTCCTCATCTCACCATCCTTGTCACATGGGGTGGTCACATGGAGGATGGATACAGATAAAACAAGGTTAGTTTTCATGTGAGCTCAGTGTGTTGCCTTTCAGATGCTATTAAGAACATTGTACATATGTGACACTAGCCTCTCTTTTAAGAAATAATTTTAAAATAAAACTTCATTTAATAAAATGGCCCTTGGGTGATTCTGTTACCCCTGTAGAGGAAGAGAGTGTGCTGTGCAGGAGTTCCCTTCCGAGTCCCAGGACTTTTGGTAACAAGAACTTCACTCTCACAACCCCACTTCCAGGCCCCCTTCAAAAGGTGACTGGCCCACGGCACTGACCTCTGGGGAATTTGAGAGGCCACAGAAGAAGTGAAGGGCTGGCCATCGGGTTTCCTGTAATTAAGTTAATTTGTCACCCACTGTAGAGACTCCATGGTTTGGAGGTATTCCAACGGAAGCTGTTTTGTTTTCTTACTTGTTAAGCTTCACTAACCAAATAGAACCCTAGTTCCCAGGAAATTAATAAAAGGCCCTGAGTTCCACTGTCTCTGATCACTTACCTCTCTTCTGAGCAATCAACCATGAGACTCCAGTCCCTGATTCCTGTGTTCCTCTTGTTTGTGGCTATAATGCCAAAAGGTAAGATGGTGAGTAATTCTGGAGCTAGGCTTCTTAGGAGACCTATGGATACACTTGGTTCTACCGTGGTCATCTGAACTTGGACCCTGATTCCTTGGACCCTCTAGGAATTCAGAATTCCAACATGCTTGTCTCCTTTGGGACTTAGGAGAACAATACTGCAAAGCAGGACAAAGATTTCCTTCCACAGAAAATGAGATCCAAGAGCTCTGTGATTAGAAAATGCAGCCCAAGTACAGGAAGAGGTAAAGAAGCTTTGACACATGACTTAAGAATCAATACACAAATCAAGGAGCTATCACCAGGGTCCTCATCTCTCAGAGGGAGAGTGAAAACAGCAGCTGGTGGTTTGGGCATGGTTAGTGAGTGGGGGACACAGAGTCTCTTGATGAAGGATTTTTGTGAAGGGTGGCAGATAGGTGCATACGGCAGAGGTCAAAAAGAGGACCGTGTCACATAAAAAACCGATATGGAGTAGGGGAATTTGAAAAAGCATACACAGAGGGGTAAATCTTCTTCCATTACCAAATTTTAAGCAAAAGACAAAATACGAAAGGAGCATTTTAAGAATCTGAGTTATATCCTGAGGACCCATGATTCAGAAGTTTGAATATTAACATGTAAAATTGGAAAACAAAGGAAATGTAGTCACCTTCAGGGTGGTTCATCCAGGTTCTCGTAGGAACTGACAAAGTTTTTTCCCCACTGGGATGTTCAGATCCCTTGAAATAATGCCTACAGCCACTGAACATAGATATAGCCTGGATAACTCTCTCTTCCTTGGCTCATCACTAGATTCCCTTACCTGTAGTCAAAAATGCTCATTCATTTAATCCTTGCCTAACCCATGGATATCGTGGGATTTACCAGACTTACAATTTTCTCCTCCTGAAGGAGTTGATGTAATTCTCATTTGGTTCTCAATTCTGCCAGAAGGCAGAGTTGTGGGAAGGCATACTTATAGGGACACCAAATGTAAAGTTATATGATGTTGATGCCTTAAAATTAGAGAGCACTTTAATGGCTAATCCTTTAATTTTACAGATAAGAGAATTCTTGTCCACATACACAGTATGATTTTGTTTGGGTCACAGAGGCAGCAGCCACAGTGCAGCTAGGACTAAGGATCTTCCACCTGGGCCAGCATTTTCATTAATGCACAGGTGTGGGTATGCCCATAAAGTGGTAACCCTGATCTCTGTCAGGCTTTTACCTCAGTCTCCTGGTTGGATATTGAGGAACCTAAGGGGACTTTCAAGTTTCTTCTTTTGAAAGACATAATATCTTTGAGACATCTCACTTCACTTTCCTCCAAAGTTCTCTTCTTTGGGGTTTAAGGTGGGCAAGTTGAATCAGCCTAATGTTCTGACATTAGTATTAGACTATTTATGCCACTCCTTAAATTTTCCTGATATGTGCCCCTTAAAATCAGATAAGTTGAGGCCAATTTTCACATGAAAGCCCTTGCTGCAGGATAGTTAGGTCAGCATGACCAACGAGCGAATGTTTTTACTCCTACTGGCACTCCACCATCTAAGCTAAATTCAGCTCAATGCCCAAAGTCACAACCCATGTTATGAGTCTAGCCCTTTTTTTTTTTAAGGTTAAGGAGGGTTAGATCTCTTGGAAAAAGTTCAAGGTCTAGCCAAAACCCACCATCACAGCAGGAAAAGGATACAACACTGGTTCAGTCTTAGGGTGGGAAGAAAACTGAGATAAACAGGTTGTTGTGCCAAAGGCCAGAAATAACGAATGAGGAGATAGGATTCTGTGAAGTGTAGGCCTAAGATTTAGGAAGCTAGTATGGTCATGTCAAGACTGGATACCCAGAAATAAGCTAATCCATCCAAGAAAAGGGACCAGATACTCAAAATGAGGCTCAAGCCAAGAGGCTTTAGGAATAAGAGAGAAAATGTATGTGGAGTCAAAGAGTACTTAACTGCATTCACCAGTAACAAATGTTTATTGAACCCCTGTTACGTAACAGAGACTGTGCTAGACACCCAGGAGACAATGGGAAACAAACGGAGGGGAATTCCCAGGATACAGAAGACAGATGTTAGTCAAAGTATCACACCGATTAATATATAATTGTAGTTTTGAATGAGTCCAATGAAGAGGAACAGAGCATCACATGTGGCCATCTTGTGTCCAAGGCCAGAGTAGACTTCCATGAGGCACACATTCTGAGTGGAAAATGGAGTGAGGGCTGTTCATGAACCCTTTGCAAAGAAGCAGCCATGCACCCATCCTGGTGCAGAAGGAGGTAGCGTGCACCATGAATACAAGAGGGCATCTGTGTGAGCACCAGTTTACCTAGGGATGTGTGCTAAGCCTTTTAGGAAAGGATGCCTAAGTTCTATGGCACCAGTGATAAGTGGAGGGTGGCATTTTAAGGACAAAGAGGGACAGGCAATGAGACATTGCTCTGTGCACTGTTCTGTCTTGACTAGACCAGATCACATCGGGGTCTTGGTTTGTGTGCAGAAGGAAGGAATGGTGACAGATTCTAGGCAGCCTCTCAGCCTGACAGGTGTCCTTGGAGGGTCTTTCCCTTTGTTTCACCCTGTCATTATTCTCTGCTCACTCTCTTCCTGGCTCCACCATAGAGGGAGTGTCAGGGTTACAACAGCCTCCTTCTTTTCAAATCTTGAGATAACCACCTTTTGAGGTCAACAGGAGGAATTCAGCCTGAGAAGCCACCAGCACTGGTGGGAAATAGAGAAAGGGTATAAACTTCAATCGTGAAGAATTGGGAATTCAAAATCTCTACCTTTCCTATCTGTTCATTCCTGAGGTCTACAGGCAAATGAGCCTGCTCCAGCGGCATGCGGATTCTCTATGTCAAGGCCATGTCTGGATTTGGCCATGTGCACTGTCTGGCCCCTGCTCTCCTTTGTGCCTCTGCCTTTCATTGGAGGAGGCCACTTCTCTCTTTTTCCAAACGAAGTTTCTTCCCAATGCACCAAGATCAGACTCCATGGGAGTAGGACCCCCAAGTATAAGACAGAATCTGCAATGGTGGTATGGGGAGTGTGTCACTGGAGGTGCGGAGGACTCAGAATTCACAGACAGAAACTGTCCAGGCCCATGATGACAGATGTGAGCCTGGGAGGCAGGGTGCAGAATGAACCCTGTGAATCCGGGCAGGGGCCCAGATGTTCAGTGACCTAAACTAGTCACAGAAGACAAATACTCAGGATTCCACTTGTATGAGGTATCTAAAGTAGTCAGACTCATAGAAACATGGAGTAACATGGTGGTTGGCAGAGGCAGGGGCTGGAGAAAGGCAGGACTGTTGTTCATCAGGTGGAGAGTTTCATTTACACAAGAGGAATAAGTTCTAGAGACCTGCTGGACCACGCTGTACCTCAAGTTAACTAGGCTGAATTAAACACTAAAACATGTACAAGGGCAGGTCTCGTGGTGGTGTCCTTACCTCAATAAAAAAGGAAATGGTGAACAGGAGTTATTTGGAGCTGAGGCCTCCCTGTGAGTATGACAAGGACCCTTCAGAGGCACACCTGGGAAGTCATGCCACCCTCAGCCCAGGACAGTCAGGATGAGCCCTGTAAACTAACTTCTACTAATGCACATGAACTTGGGAGGCTGAGGAAGGTCACTGAGATGGAAGGAAGCAGCTGTATTGGAGCACACATGTAGTTATATGCTTCTGAGCAGCTGAGGGAATCAGGGAGACATATAGATATTTTTAGAAAAATACTCCTCAGCCCTGAGAGAAACCCTCTCTGCATTTCTACATGTAAGGGGCATTAAACAATGGGGAAAATGTGTTTCTTGCATAGACCTGAAGTGGAGAACTTAGGTAGGGTAGAAACCAAAGGGTTCATAGACTTTTCTATAAGGGGAGATGAGGATGTTGTACCAGGGCAGTTCAATAGGTGGGCAGTTTAACAACCCTGTGCCTTACCCTGGACACCTCCCTGGTCTTGGTGACACCAATAAATTGCCCTGCACATTTCAAAAGGTGCTTCTAGAAGGGGACCCCTCTCCTCAGGGTTTTAGAAGTCAGCCTGCCCTACCCATATGTGTTTGGTCCCAAGGTCTTAGCCCTTTGCCCAAAGGCATGTCTTTTATCTAAGTGTCTGACCATTTCCTGTAGGTACAAGTATCTTCTCTATCACAAAGCCATCTTTCTGTAGGTATATTGCTTTATGTACATCACCAAAACCTGATGCTCATTTAACAGTGTTGTCAAATCTCTCTCCACGCAGCAAGAAGTGGCATTATCCCGGGGCTCAAACAGTGTGTCATTTTGAAAGGGGTGTGCAAGGACGGAGGCTGCACCTCCACGGACAGCACCATCGGGGTGTGCAATGAGGATAAGAAGTGCTGCCGGCGGTGGTGGGTGCTGTGGCCCTACCCAACGCCGGTTCCCAGGTCAAAGTCCCCTTAGAAGGAAGCAAACTGCAGGCCCTTCGAACTCCAGGACGCGTGCATACATGATGCCGGTTCCCAGGGGACCCGAGTTGTTTTGCCTCCCTTGGCAGGAAGTAACTGCCCTGATTCCATCTGCACTGACCCCCAACAAATACCTTCATGGTGAACACACACAGCCTCTAAGTACTACAAGCCTCAGCAACATAACAGAGGAAGCTCACACCCTAGAGATATTTACACAAAACAAGCTTTCTTGAAAGAGGATAGAAGTAAAACTTTTAATATGTAAAATAATAAAGGTGTGAAGTAGCAGTAGGCAATATTTGATTACCCAAAGTGGAGTGTCAGCCTTCTTTCTCACCTGATTCTAAGCGTACGCCATTTCATGACAATCTGGGAGATGTGGGTGGAGGTGGGTTAATTACATGGTCCAGATGACAGCAAACCTGAGCAGGAGGCACAGACCTAGCCAGTCCCACCCACGTTGACCTCCAGCTGGCAGCCCGCTCATGTTGCTATTATTAACATGGGTGACCGTGGGCCACCATTTCCTGAGGACACGAGCCACCTGCATATCCAGAGTGTCTATCACACAGTCTCAAACACACTGCCGATGACGGGCACAGGTTCTTGACTCGGTCCTATTTCAGTTAAAATTGTCATTCCTTTGCTTACCAGTCACATGACTTTGAAGTACTTATTTAACCTCCATCTTCCTGAAAATGGAGGTTCCCCTCCAGGAAACGAGTGAAATAAATGAACCTTAAGGGCGGGGAGAGTCATTCCAGTTTCCCCGAGCCTTTCTGTGACTCTGCATTGCTAGTTAGCATTGCCAGAGAAAATACGGGAGGCTCAGTCAAACAGAAAGTTCAGATGAACCACAGATACTTTCCATATAAAAGGGTATACTATTTGGCAATTATTCATTACATCTGAAATCAAACTTAAGCGAGTTTTGTTTGCTAATGCCAGCAACCCTATTTCACATCCACACATGTGGGAAATTCCAGGAACTCTCTGTGGTCAGCAGAACGCTTCTCACCAAGCACGCCAAAACCCCTCTTTCCCAGCCACTGCGTGGGGCCGAACTTATCATTCCCTGCCAGTCTTTCTCTATGGTAAGGCTGCCTGTTTCTGGGCTCTAGACATGGGATAACTGTTGGAAATTGCAGGTGCAGATCAGTGGATTTTTGCAGAATGTGATGGTCCTGTAATCACCACAAATCTGCTGTGCACTGCCCACCTTGGATTTTGCCTTTCTTTATTTCTCCTCTGCCAAAGTGCCGTGGCAACTATGCCAGCACTACCTAGAGAGCAACATTCAGGCTTGGACCGTGGGTGTCAACATGCTCCCTCTGCTCATTTTAAATGATCTCATTCCATAGCAGCTGTGGATTCTGTTGGGCTGAGCTGTTGACTTGATTGTGCAGTAATGCTGTTGAATTTGAATTTGAGCAAATCAGCACGCCTTCTTCCATAGCATGTTCCTCTGACTGTTAAATTCCATTTGTGAAAATCATGGCTTGTGCACACTGTACATTTCATAGTCTAATATTTTCCCCAAGGAATGTGAATTCCCTTCAGTGGGTTCTTACATGGCATGTAAGTTAAGTGGGTTCTTACATGGCATGGCACTTACATGAATGGGTTAAGATACAACATCTGTTTCTATAAGCCAGAAAGTGCACGGTGGTACGTGCCTACTTCTTACCAATCACCAAGCTTCTGTTCCATAGTATAGTAGCTGTTGATTGAAGTAATTTGGTCCTTATCCAGGAGAATATATGAAGAAGGAGGGATATTAACCCTAGACAAGACTTAGCAGTATAATTGCAATTTGAAATTAAAGTTACACCTTCCATTAATATCATTGGAATCTATTCTAAGAATGGTGTCTTTTTAATGATATAAGATTCTCAGTATAGATTCTTCAGATAGCCTTGTCATTTGTGACGAAGTTGCTCTTTGAAAATGCATGTCCCCAAGCATGAGCGATGTTGATTTATGTTTATTGACTTTCTGAATGACACCAGTGCTCTGTGTGTGTTTTTTAGAGTTTTAGGAGAGATTCCTAACAAAAGTAGACAAAATTTTTACTCAACACAAGTAAAATTTTCACTCTAATGCCTAGGTAAGAAGTACCATTATGCAGTGTAATTATAATTATTATCATCTTTTCCTTTGCAACAATACTAAGGTAAATGGTGGCATTTCTGAGATTGTGGTAAACAATGTACCTCTTGAAAAGACAGAACCTTCTAAAAGTACTTCTACAGGTGAGGAAACCAAGACCCTCTGAAGACAATGGTATTGCCTCATGATACATGGTGGATGACCAGGATCGAAGGTAGATGATGAAATACGGAATAAAGTAAGATCAATGCAGGGTGCACAGCAAGGCAGAATCGTAAAAGGCCCAGTGAGGGTGAAAACCACAGTCACATCACCATCTCGTCTGACGTGGCTCACAGTTGACCCTTTGCTCACTACAAGCCTGATAACAAAGTAAAATGTCTCCCCTTGTGTACTTTAAAAAAACCAGTTGAGTCGATTGCTCATGAGAAGCACGGATAGTGTTGGTCCTGAGAGTGGATGCGAATTCCTGCCTGAGTTCTTTGGAAAGAGGACACCACATACTGTGCAAGCAAGAACCAGGCCCAAAACCCAGGGCCGAAATAATTTTAGGACTGTATAAATGTAACTGTTAAAAATCAACCCCTTAACTGTTAAGGAGTTGAAATTACATTCAGCCCTTTGACGGCAACCTCAAGGCTGATGTGGGCCCCTGGTGAAAATGAGTGTGATACCCCTGACCTAGCATTTTGCTTTGCTGTTTTGTCTAGTTTTCTGGTCCATTATACCCAGTAGAACTCTGTTAACCTGTATTCCTGCTCCAGAGTCAAAACAAGTAGTGTTCATGATCTCTCAGAGGCAGGATGTTGCCCAGCTGTCAAAGATAGACTAAAGTTTACATTCCTAAGAACATCTCTTTCACTCATCATGTCAGAAGGTGGGTGATTTATTTCACCTACAATGAACCCCATGTGTCCATCACTGAGAGACAAACATTCCGCAACTCTCAGCCACTCTCATCTCTGCTATAACCTAGTCCCATGAAGCAAATCTCAGAGGTTATGTTATCGTGCCAGGGGCAGCTCCACAGTCATGAGCAGAGTCAGAATGGTGGGCCAGGTGCAGAGAGTCACCAGGGCAAATAGTCCCAGGTGCTTAGTGACAGGCAAAATCACAAGCCCTTGCCAACCACTCCCTAAGCGTTATCTGCTAGAGATAACTTCTAGGTCTCAGCTGGGTGTCAGCTCCAGGTCCAGAAAAGCAGCAACGCCAGGCAGAGAGATGCCATGGCCGACATCAGGACCAGCTGCACTGACTGATGACTCCCTGCCCCAGACCACGACTCTGAAAGGACACACCTGGAGAGCTGATGAACATTCCAGTGAGATCCTCCCAAGGCCTCCAGAAAAAAACCCTCAGGATGGAGGACAAGTACTACCCTCTATGGAGCACAAACATGCCTTTCTACACCCTTCCCCCAGGCATGCGTTCCTTGTATCTCTGTCTCCTAAGCCCCATGGGCCCTTCTTTTGTCCCTGTCACTTACTTCTTGAGCTGAGGCAGCCCAGCTGGCTCACTTCTCCTACAAATTTAAACAATGTGCTTATTTACTTCAATCATAACCAAGTGATTCTTCTACATCTCACTTCTTCTACTTCTGTGACTTTCTAAATAAACCTTCTCGTATAGTTTGTCTTGGCCCCGAATTCTTTCTTAGCCTGAACTCAAGTACCAAGGCTGTTGATCTGTGGTCCGGCCTGACTCCACCATTCTAACACCTGGTGCCGTTTCTCCACCAACAATGGTGCTGATAAATATTTCAGTATACATTTGTAAAAGATAAGAAGTTGTTGTAGACTGCTGTTCCTGGTTTTAGGAATTGTATCTCTACCCCTTGTGGCTAAGGGTGAGGGACGACCTTTGGAATGTGAGCTGCAGGAGACAAAGCCTGTCTCTGGTAGCAAATACTGCCTCAGTTTCTTCCCCCTGCCCCCAAAGCATGATTGATGTCCATGGCGGCGGGTATGACCCCTCAGAGAGGGGCAACCTAAGCCAGACTCGATCACGTGGGAGGCTGTCATGGAAGGAATCAGGGGGCTGCAACAAAGAGCAACGGACTCTCACCCCCCACCCCTTTGTCAAAGCCCCAGTCCCCATGTTCTCTGGGAGAAACACTTCCTGGCTCTAATCCCTTTAAGCCTGAATACCTGATGGGGAGGGGTGCAGCTGCTTGCCTTGCTAGAGCATGTCCCGGGGAAAATCTGGCATCACAAAAACTTTCTGATAAACCTGTGAAATCTGCTCTGCTAAGAGTACTTTCATTCATATGTTAAGAGTTCCAGCAGGAAACTCTAAAACTCTCTGCCTAACAGACTCTGACTCAGACTAAGCCCTCAGATATTTTTGAAATGTTATCTACTGTTTGATCCTTACTGTCCTGTGTTCCTGTGTATGACAACCCAATAAAAGCCCCTGGAGAAAGGGGATGGAGGCTCTTTTTTTTTTCCTCCGAGAAACTGGCCACCTCTCCTCAAGCAGATCACATCTTGTCTTGCTTACTTTCATCCGTGGTGGTCGTGGGGGATGTGCGGGAAAAGTCACCCCCACAAGAACTCTTTTATTAAATGCCACCTCCATCCTGCTATCACACTGCAGCATTTAACAGTGACTCCTTAGTACCAAGAAACACCCCGGGGGACCCCCAGGGTCACGACACCAGGCAGCGTCATAAATAACGTTCACAGCCGCTTTGTTCCCAGGCTTTGGCACATATTTGCTACAAGCTGCATTGGTTCCGGGTAATGGGCTGCACATTCTGATGGGTTTCATGAATTCATTCATCATCATTATTTACCGAGTGCCCAATACATGCCAGCAGAGTTGGGGGTCCTTGAAATAAGTACATCAGTAAATCAGACCAACGTCATGCCTTCTTGGTGCTCA